TGCTTATTAGATGCGACTGCGTACCTGTCACAGCATGTACAATGGGGCTTGGGATCCTCTTAGAAAACTATGGCATCAGTCAGTTGTCGAGTGCGCGTTGTAACACAGTCACTTTAACAATCAGTGATGCTAAAAGCTATGTATTCCTGAGAGAAGAAAGAAATAGTTGAGCAACAATTTTTCTTCCATAAAAGACATCACCAAGTATCTTCATTAGATGACTATTGATTTTCTGTACATGAATTGTGAATCATTATTAATGAAAGGTCTTTGATATTATTTATCCTTCTTAGACATTGGATGTTGATATTTTTTCTTCAGAATATTCATGTGTGAATCATGAATGAAAGTAACACTGAAATATTCACTAACAGCTCTTTAATGGCACAAAGAAAACAGTTTGAGATTACAGATGGCAATAGAGGGCTAGTGCCTGCCTGGCAGGCTCAAGGTGCTGAGTTCAATTTGCAGTACTCCTCCCACCCCCAAATACAAATGGAAGTAGATAAATGGGACTTTGCTGGCATGGAAGTCTAAAGTACAGAGAGAAATAAAATATTAGCTCCAGAGAATATCTTGCATGTTATCCTTCTTTGTGATAGGTATTTCCTATTATGTAATTGTCACGGACTATCTGGGATGTGGTATTAATTTCTACTCTTTCCTGATACATTCTCCTAATTTTCTCCATGAAGATTTATTTCAAAGCTTTGGCTTGACTAGAATTACAGTTGGAGGGACTGACTTAAGTTTAAAACATTTACTTAGTATCATCCTCTAAAAATGTTAAGAAATTCCTTGTAGTAGTTAACCATTGCCACTATGTCTCCAATGGATAATAAAATAAAATAGAATTACCTATGGACAAGTCATGACCAGTGTGTGAACTATTGTGTATTTTGAAGAGCTGCTTACCTGTGCCTTGATACAAAATGTTGAAAAGAGTTTTACAATGATAGATTAATAATTGCATTGTAGATAAAGTCCCCATCCCACCCCCAACCCCCAAAATTACAATTTCTTGAGTCTCATGTTTTTGCGTCCATGGGTATGAGCTAGGCAATTTGCTAAACATAATGTTTAAAAAAGTAAGTTACTTTCCCACTTCAACATTTCTAAATTTCTGGCGGAAATCTAAAGGTCATTTCTCTTTGCACTGTCTCTGGGAAAGTCTCTTTTGCTAAAATTTTTCCCATTTTTTCTGTTCCTTCACCTCAATTATAATATATTTTATCCATTATTTCAGCTTCCCTAGTCTTATGGTATAAATCAAATCTGCAAAACTGCTCAACAGCAGAACTTAATGGCCCTGGAGTAAAAAGAGACTTTTCTTGATGAAAGCCAGGGGAACAGAAAAAAAGCAAAATATATGCTCTTGAAATTTAATTCCTATGGACTTTTATTTTTCTTCAAACTTTACTTACTGAAATGATGAAAAATATGAGTAACTTCAGAGGAGCTGAAAAGCTGTAATCAGATATGACTTAAACTTTGGCACTTTATATTTGTGTCTTTTGGAAAGGTTTTCTATAAGGCTCTCTGGTATTTTGGCAAGTACCCAAGAGATATTATGAGTCATGTATTCATTATTATGCTAGAAAAGAACTAAGTATTATCTCAAAGGAAGTTTTAACTGTGTTCTCTTATGCACAATTTATATGTGGACAAGGAGAGTTCAGATAGGCCACCCAAATTAAAATTAAAGCTTCTATTTTTTTGGATAAGAATCACCTTAAACATTTTTTATAATGGAATTTTCATTGTTCATATTTGTTCACTCATGAAGTGTGTTTGTACCACCTTTTGCAAATGTACCCTTGACAAAGCAGCACTGTGATGTATTTTATGGAGATAGAAAGATATCTGAATCATTTGTTTCCGTCCCATTTTCCTTTATATTCAGTAATGGATCTATGCCTAACTTGACACTTTAGCATTAACCCTCTCCATTCATCTTTTAATTCCATAGAGTTAGTGCCAATAATGGACAAGGGTGAATTTCAGATAGAGAGCTGATGTCGGTAGTTATTCCTAGGTCCTCTCCAGTAATAAGCTGACCTGAATTCTGGACCTACTTCTGACATCACAGCTAAGTGACTCTGGGCAAGTCCTTATTTTCCCTGAGCCAATGCTCCCACATAACACAAATGAATTAATATTTTTCTCTTTTGCAGGATTATGGTAATGGAAGGAAATGTAATAAAGAATATGATATAAATGAAAAGCAAATAAAATGTGTTGCAAAAAGTTTTGTAGCTTGAGCATTTTGAAAGACTTTGAAAGACAAGCTTTGGGGAAACACCTAAATTAATGGCTAGTTATCACAGATCCTAATATTTTGATGAAAAAAAGACAGAGCTTCTGCTTAGCTCCTCTGAAGATGTTGTATTTCATGCGAATGTTGTATTTGGAGCTGTAAAATTCTGATGGTGTTTTCTTAGGGGCAATGCCATCTACATACTCAAAATAAAGGATTAATGTTCTCACTAGAATAGGGTCATTGGATCTTATAAACAAATGTATTCAACTCTATCATTTGTTAAATGCCACAAATAAGCTGCAGGTTTATATGCCGAAGCCTGTGAGAAAAATGAAAGATTAAACAACTGCTTTTAAAACTTGTGACATTTCTGGATTACTGAGGACTAATTCTGCTTAAGATGTTGCTGTAATTCCTAAGACATTGCTTCTAGCTTTGTATGTAAACCTTTTTGGTTATTAATTCTTCCCTAGTCAAGGGTTTTCTTCCCTCTAACCAAAGACCTTGAGCAGAAATTTGAGGCATAGATGGAAATTTGAAAATGAACTTTTTAAATGTAGGTTTATTAAGACCGATGATTTGAAAATATATTTCAAATTCTACCTTAATGACTCACAACCATTTTAAACACTGTAATTTTATATTGTCTGAAATATGTTTCTCAATAACAAGCTGCTCAAAATAATCTTGGTGCTTCTGTAAAAGACCTACAATTTATCAATGTTCACCAAGAAAATATTTCTAGAAACCACTTTCCCAGCTCTATCAAGGTGAATATCAGCCAGGTACAGTAGCACAGCTGAGGTAGGATATTATACTGATAATTCAGCCACATCACATAAATGACAATTAATTATATTATTTGAAGAATAAGGAGAGGGAACTATACACTGTCTTTCTCTCTGTATTTGGAAAGAAATGTTAATCAAAGTTTGAGCCTCTAAGTGACCATACATGGTATAACTTTGTCTCACCAATAAAGTCTGAGATATAGTTTACAGCTTAGGAAACTGTTTAGCTATGTTATCTAGCATTAACATTAACTATTGCAAATTGCTTAAAACTACTGAGAATCAAAGATGTATTGGAAAACACATGCGTCTTGTTAATCTTTAAAGAGTACAATCAAATACAAGGTCTCTGAGAGCAATAGTATTCTTTTCTCAAACATACAAACTACACTATCACATGGAATTCTGTCGGGTTCATTGTGGATGTCAGATTAATATCAAGGCATTGGAAAGTAAAACAGTGTTACTAGTAGAACTTTAGATGCTCATTCCAATAGGAAGAAGTAGGGGACAGTTTATCATGAAGCCCTTGTTAACCATATTAGACAACTTGCAATAATTACATCTAACTTAAACTTCAAGTGAGTGTAAGTATGTATGATATTTAAAATATAAAACAAAATTAAATGCCTTAGACTCCTATTGATAAATCAAATTAGAAATATAAGTTTATTATTATCTATAGTCTATAGATTTTTAAAAATATTTTTCTGAATTTATAGTTCTAGGTCATACAGGAGTTCTCTAACTTAACATGTTTAAACACATCAGAAAAACACCAGAAGGGAATGTGATTTAAGATCTTCCATCCAGGACAGCATTTTTGGATTTTATTTTGTCTTTTAGTCTACTGTTTAACGTTGTGGACTGAGATAGAATACAATAATCCAAATTGTCACCTAATTGAAATACCTAATTAAAAACAACAAATACTCATTTCAAGCCTACTCAAACAGAACTTTCATGATGCACCTCTGTGGGTATTTGAGAATGCTTCTACCTATTTTCCTCTGCAATAAATCTAAAGAGTCTGAATATGTCATATGTTTACCATTCATTTGGTTAATAAATCATCCAATAGTTCTCTGCTGGAGTGTTTTCTTTGCCTAGGAGGCATTTGACAAGGTCTGGAGACATTTTTTATTCTTGTGACCAGGGATGGAAAAGCAAATAACTCCTAGTAAAACTGGCATCCATTGGAAACCAGGGACACAGTTTAAATATCTGACAGTGGACAAAGAATTATCACACTCAAGATGTCAGAGGTTGCCAACACTGAGTTAAATCTCCAGTCTGCACTGACCGGAGGCTGTACTCCCAACAGAAATGACTGTTGTGGAGAATATACACTTTAAATTCTCAGGACAAGGGATACAAACTGATAGAGTCAAAACCATACTGGTGCAAACTCTTCACATGGATGTTTGAATGAACATTTCCCTCTAATAGTGTTATGGTACGTGATAAACATAGAATCACTTACCCCTTATCTCTGAGAATAAGATATAATTAGGGGAGATGATAGTTTTACTGTTCTAAAGGTCAGGGAGACCTTGGTCATCTGTTTGAAAAGAAAAAAAAAAAAAAAAAAAAAAACAGATGCTTTCAAAAACCAGTGCATAACCCTGAAGGAGAAGTTGAAAATCACAGTTTTCATGTATTATCTGTTTCACATCTAAACACATTCCAAAAACAAAAGAAAGAAGAGTTGTGTTTCCAGTGATAACTATGTCATCCTATGATTTCTGACAATATTAGGATCTGTAGGCTTAATTTAGCTTACATTTCAAACTCATGGCAAGAATAGGTATCAAACATTTTGTAACTGTTTTGGGAATTTTAAAGGTTATTGAGTTCTGAATAACAGAGTCTCTCATGTTTTCCCACCAAGCTTTTCCCAGCAGTTGAATATATCTGGATCTTATTCTGGTTTTTCATTCTTTTTTTAGCTTCCTGAAATGACTCATGTTCAAACACGACGACCCTGGATGATGTTTCTGCTGCAGAACATTGGTTTGATCCTAGGTTGGCTTTCTCTCTTACTCTTGGCTATATATGAACAAAATATTAAAATATAAATTAAGATCCTTGGAATCCTTCAAAAGTAAATTTGTAGGGCATTGTTTCCTTTCTTTATTGTACTCTACGATGATTAGTAAGCTAAGTATTTTTATCTTAGGCAAAGAGTATGTCCTAGTTCATTAACATTAATTTTATAATGCCCTTTTGTTTTGGGAGAATATGTAAAGGTCAGACTGTCCTTCGTGGAAATTTTGTTTGTTTCCAACACTGTAATGGAACTGCTTTGCTTTTGTCCTTTTTTTAGTAATCATAAAAAACTTTAAAAATAGTTTCTCTAAGAAAGAATGTAGCATTTGAAATAGAAAAATGTCTGTTGGGATAAAATCAGGTGCAACTGTTTTGATGTCAATCAGTGCGTATTTTCTGTGAAATTATAAACCCCTAGCAAACTAAATTATAAATAAATGTAATAAAGTCTAATTTTAATGTGGTGGTTCATATTACCTTCTATTACTGCATGTCAGATTTCTAAGCCTTCTCTTATAAAGCCATACAGTTATCGTTCACCTGGAATTGTTACCCACTGGCTTGTGAGTGCTCATGAATAAGCAATCCTGGAAACCCAAAGGATAATATGTCAGCATTTTTCTGCATAAATCACTAAAGGAACTCTGTTCCAGGCAAGGAGAACTTGGAAACAAAAGATGAAGTTCAAAAAAAATTGAAATAACAAAACTTGAGTCAGGCAATAAATGAACGCCTAAACTCTCACAGACTGTGTAACTGAGAATGTTTATGGGAATAATCCTAATGACAAGAATATTTTCTATTCTTTCTGAGGCCACAGCACACGAAGTGAACAAGCAACATTGCCGAGAACCCAGCAAAATTATTAAAATAGAAAATAACCCTGACTTCAGTCACTTTTTTCTTGGAAAATTCATGCCTAATAGTTTTCTTATTTTTGAATGATGTATCTTGACAAGCAAAAATGCCTATTTTTCCATCAAAGTGACTCATAGCCCTCGGTCATGTAAGACTCTCTTGCCTCTTACCCTTTGGTAGGTAACTCTTTGCTATGCCTGTATCCAAACACAGTCTTTTTCAGCCACATTTCCTGGATTCCAAAAGGAAGAGGGCTCCTCCTCCGGTTGCCTTTAGAGCATGCTTGAAGGAAAGGCTTCACTGAATAGTGCAATAGTCCTCAAACTTTGGCACAAAGCAGAACCTCATGGAAGACTCATCTGTGGGAAGCAGATCGCTGGTTCCATCCCTAGACTTTCTGATTCTGTAGGTCTGCAGTGAGGCCAGAGACTTTGATTTTGTGTGACTTCTGGGGGTCTCGATGGTGCTGGATGAGGTACAACTCTAAACACCAGAGGCAGACTTGACTTTGAGAAATAACAGGTGCATAACTCTTGCTTAGGATCTGTGCGCTTTGGAGTGAGTTGATGAAGCTTCTACAAGCCTCATGCTAGATACAGATTCCTAGACCCAAACTCCCTTTTGTTTTTCTTTCTCCCTTCACTTGGAACACCAAATCAACCTGAAACTTACTGAATGAGACAGTGTTTTGATTGTTCTTTACCATGAAATGTAAGTAGGTTTGACACACAGAGCTTTACCCTTCTTTTATTACAGGATAAATTGTCAGTAGATAAACACCCTTTTGTTCAGATCAACGTGGTATAGATGTCACCTGCAAAAAGTACTGGCACCATCTGCAATTGGGTTCCTATGCCTAGGTTTTGATTTTGACATTAAACCTTAATTTCTGTCAACTTAATGAGAAGAGCTCTAATGGATAACTTTGATTCCAGTTCCAGTTTACAGTAGTCTGCAACTGGCTAAGTTAAAATTTTTGGTGTGAGTTGGGTACTTTATATCCTTCCAATTGGAGGGAATTCGATACTGGGGAGACTGGGAGGAGGATGCAGAAGGGCTGGAAGAGAGCCAGCTGTCCAGAGGACGTAGAGGGACATTCTCAGGCTCTTACAAGCTTGTCATCCGTGTGTTCTGATTGGAGGCAGAGACCTGTCCACCCATAGGTCATCCTGAGGATAATGTAGCATAGAGATTTCTGAAGGCACCTTTCTGAGATCCTCATTTCTTTCCTTTTTTACCTTATCACTGGCTTTATGATAATCCATAACAGGCTTAAGGTACCAGACCACAGTCTGTGACAAACCTCCTGCCACAAGCCACCTTAAAATTGCTAGAAAATCTCTATTCCTCAAAATTGAGTGCTAATAACAAAATAGGATAACACCCGTGTGCCCTTTAAATGTGAAGAGTCTAAATTTGGAATGGCTATCGTCATCCCATTAAGCTGTCTTTTATGGGCTGTTCCTGATCTTTAGGGTAAATGGTGTTTTCCTTGAAACCAAATTTTTCAATAACATTAGAATGTTTGTTTCTGGGGCCTAGATTTAGGATTCCACTGTATTTCTTCTTGATGACTGATTTGGGTTTTTTTTTCTACTGAATTAGAAATGCTTGTGGAGAGATATAAAATCATGTAAAAAATTTTTTTGAGACAAGGTCTACTGTACAGTTCAGGTTGCCCCTGAACTCACTGTGTAGCCCAGGATGGCCTTGAATTTGTAGCAATCCTCCTGCCTCACCCTCCTGAGTGTTGGGATTAGAGACATATACCACCATACCCGACTTCTTGAACTTTTTATTTAGATATCCATTATACACAGACAGAGCTATCTCTAATAAAAGGGAATTGGACCATATTGTTGGAATGCTGTGTAGACCCTGAAAAATCATTAGACTCTTAAATGCCAGTAAATGTGCTCAGAGATTGTGGCCACTCCCAACTTCTTCACCCCTTCCCCGAATCCCGAAGTGAAGGTAAAACTGTGCCTCCCCTTATGAAAACTTCCCTCAGAAGGATGCATGTTTATAATTCCTTATCCTTTTCTAAACTGAGAGGAAAGGGCAGGATCACAGGCTGCTAGTCACTCAGGCAGGTTGGACTGATCAGCTGGCATTCTTGAATGATCATTAAAAATTCAGGTTCCTAACTGGAATCTCCATTCAAATCTCAAGCTACGTTGCTGGGAATAGCAATTTCTTCTTTCTGTAAAGCAAACTGAAAATAGGCCCTATCCCCTGGGGTTGTGGTGAGGTCTATGTGGGTTACTGCTCCTAAGGCACTAAGCACAGTGCCTGGAAAAGACTAATGGCTCAGTAAATATGAACCACCCGCATCATCACTGCTATCAGCTTTGATACTGTCTTCTCTCAGTAGTTTCACAGTTGACCTCCCAGTGTTGTAACTTTGGTCAAAAAAATACTTTTTCTTAGTAGAGAGTGGAGATCAAGACTTTATATAAATACAATCCTCTGTAAAGCAGCCAAAACGTTTTTCATCAGTTTGTCAAAGCTGTCCCGTGTTTTCTTCACCTTGAATTAGTTCCAGAGCATGAGAGATAGCGGCCTCTCTCGCATCCTCTCCAGGCAGGTTTTGTCCCTGTGTCCTAATGTGTACATACATCAAGAGCCCCTCCCTCTTGTTCTTTATCTCTCAAAACAAGTTGAAAACCTATTAGATTCCATCCAGCTACACTAAAGAAATTCAACTGATTCCTCCTGGTACCCACACACCTGCTGAGGAAATGAAGCCAGTCCTGAAAAAGAGTCCAGAACCATCACAGGGAAACCGAGTGGGTGCTTGCGTGAGTACTGGCTTATTTAAATAGGGTCAGTGCCATCCTACTGGGCCTGGACAGTGGAGCTGCACCTGCTCAAGTAGTATCTTTCAAGCTGGGGGAAAGCCCCTGATATACACACCTCTCAAAATCGGACTGAAATATAGGAGAAATTTTGAGAAGCTACAGAGATTTTCAGAAGCTAAATTTTGAAAGCTCAAATCTAGAGTGGTTTTTTTTTTTTTTTTTGTCTTTTTGCTTTTTTATTGGTACTGGGGATCAAACTCATGACCACACACTTGCAAGGCAGGTGCTTATGCCGCTGAGCTAAATCCCCAGTACCACATTGGTTGTTTGAGTGGCTTATAAAATAACACTTGCATGTCTTTCCTATCTGTACTCACTGCCCTGCATCCCCCCCATAACATCTTTCCAAGATAGATTCTCTGCGACACAGCTCTTTCTCCCACATGCCACTCAGCCCATTTTGCAAATGCCTCGTGCTTTTCTTTCTTTGTAGTAAATCCCTCCACCTCTGTAGTTGTGAAAAAAAAAAAATTTAAAAGAATCTTCCTCTACACCTGCCCACAGAGAGAGAGGTTTTGTCCAGTTCTGAATCATCTGGGCTCCCACTGACACCCCAAGTAGAACTCTGGAAGCTCTCTCTGGAAACTTTCTCCCTCATGGACTAGATTTATCTCATCATCTCCACATTTCCACTAAATATCAGGCTAGGAAGAGAGAATATAGGCTAATCCCACAGCGTAACATAATCCTGGCATTGGAACCAATTTTAGGCATTTAATTCAACCCTTTGACTTTTAATACTGATATAATAGCAAATATTTGTGCAACACCACGTGCCAGATAATAGTTGAAAGTGCTGATGAAAGTCCCTTGATTCTCTTAAGAACCCTGAGAATGTAGGTGTAATATTGCTTTCAGTGCCGTTTTATAGATGATGACATTGAGACCATAGAAGTCTGTTAATTTGCAGAGTATTGGTGGGTTAATGGAAGCTGACTGTAATATTAATCCCTACATCCCATTACCTCTTCAGAAGGAAACTGAGGTCCAGAGAGTGTAGATATCACCCTAGCACTTATCTCTGTAAAGCAATCAACCCAGGACTAAGTTTTCCATCTCTGACTTCCAGGCCAGCAAGTTTAACAATCATTCCCATTTCTACTGGTCCTGCCAAGTCTATATGATGTCAGTCATCTCAGGGTGCTGTAACATCTCAGTTCATGTTTATTTCACTCATAAGGATTTATGAATTATGCAGCACTTTTTGTACAGTCTTTATGGTTTCCTGTTAATTTTGCAAATGGTTAAAGAAAGAGCTCAGAGGATCTTACCCCAGATTTATCATCAATGGATGAGTCTTCAGGCCTGCGTTTTCTCCTCCGTAAATCAGGAAGCTAGATGAGATGATCCCATGCTGTTTCCCTGAGTATCAACTGTCTGATCAGGGCTCAGGGTTCTTTTTCAGTGGAAGTGGGATGTAGTGCTTTGTGTATTCCACTGCATAACAAACAGCACGTGGCTTATAGTAGAGTCTGTTGTTCTTGCAGAAGTCACTCGTATATGGTTTGAATGAAGTTCCCCCAAAGTGCACATGAAATCCAAACCTCAGAATGTCATCTTATTTGGAAATAAAGTCATTGCAAAGGCAATCAGTAAGGATAAGGTCATACTTCACTCAGGAAGGGATCAGCACTATGACTGGTCTTGATGAGGAGACATGCAGAGAAAGCCACGTAAGAAAATAACAACATAAAAGCAAGCAGACTAGAGTGGGACAGCTAAAAGTCAAGAAAT